CGTCCTTGTACGCCGTTTTTAACATTTCAAGAGTTTCTGTTCCACTTTTCCCGAGCAAAAAGCAGAATTTCACCGCCGCACGCTGTTCACGAAAATCAGCCATTGCAAAAATGACGATCACACAAAACAGTTGTCACTATGAACTCTGCCGAAACTAGTCCTTACCTTCTGAAGCAACGGTAATCGGCTTATCGACTCAGGACTGTTAGCTCTATGCGCTCATAGCGGCAAAACGCGGTACTACAAAAGCTCTGCCCACAAAAAAATTAGTTCGGTTTCTTTTGGGTACCCCATCGTATGCATACAGTTTCTGCACAAAGCGTTTCTGCTGTACAAATGCCTCACTGTTGACATCATTCAAAATGGTACCTTCTTATCTGGTGAAAGGGGAGGAAATGTTTATGCTTTCATAGCACTCCAAAGTTTCTTTATACATGAGTGAGGTCACATCCCTCAGAATCTGTGCTTGTGTTTATCTGCCACACAAGAAGTACTGTTAAGCTTCTTAGAAAGGCCACCCCTTTGTTCCACACACTTTCAGAGTATTATGTACTGCATTCTAAGGCCACAGCCACACGAGCAACATTTACTGCTCGAAATCCGCGACATATGAAGCTCAAGAAATACCCACAATGGAGTTAAAAAACAAGGGCCACATGGAGCAGTAAATAAAGCTGGCTTCTTGGTAGAGGGAACAATTTCAAGGTCTCGTAGCGGGCGGATGGGTCTCGGCCCATTTTCTAGCTGTATTTGTCGGTAGTTCACCTGGCCGAATAGCTGATCATACAGAACACCACACCAGACACTGACGCTGAATCAGTGTTGAAAATTCGATTCTATGGTGGCACGAGGATTATTGTCTACCCAAACATGTAAGTTGTGACTTTTGTTGACCCCATCCTGTGTAAACTGTGCCTCATCGCAGAACATTATCAAGCAGTACAACTGCCAATTTCCATTTAACCAGTTGCAGAACTGCAGACGAAGAGAGCAGTCTCCTGGTTGTAGGTGTTGTACGTACTTGCTGTAAATGATAAGGATGCAGCCCATTCGCATGAAGAGTCCTACATGCCATGGACTGAGAAACACGGAACCACCAAGCTAGACGTCTTGTACTGGCATGCGGACTGCACTCTACAGCATCGAGAATGTTTTCTTCTTTGCACAATTCATGTTGAGGATTTCGTTCGTATTATATATAAACGCTGGGGAGAGAACCAGTTTGTCTTAATGTGTTGAATGTATTGCTAATGGATTTAGGATTTGGAATCCTGTGATTAGGAAAACGCCGGTGATATTTGGCAGCAGCAGGTCTTGCATTTCCATCACATACACCCAAAACAAACACCATATCGGCGTATTCCCCAGTGGAGAATTTGTACGGCATTTTAACTTCACAAAGTCACCAACACAACGTCCTGTTTACTATTGGCTCGCTCTGCCTACCTACGCGCAACATTCCAGCCGGTCTGCCTTATCTGCTGACACAGCTGACTGGAATGCGTGGTCGCCCAGGAGGGAAGCATAGTGCTGCATTCACAATGATGCGTTTTGAAAATCTATTGTTACTCCGTAACTACTGAAAATCAACCACAAGTTTATAAGGAAATTTTGCAGGAAATAACCCCAGGAATATGTACCATAAGCTGGGGTAAAACTTCATGAATGGTAGATACATAAATCCATGGGAAACCCACCCCCTCAATACAGAATGCGGAATACATAAATCCATATAGAATAGGTAACTTCTCCCACAGCCACTATGAGAAACTAGAAATTACTTTGAATATGTGCCTCATTACCTTGCCCTAATCGCAAAATGCATTTCAATACACAGGTATATAATTTTCCTTTTCTTATGGGTTAGTGTTGTTAAACGCACTTCACTACAAAACAATGACACATACAATGAAAAAAAAATACCTCAAATACATATGAAGCAATTTGGACTGAAGTCTGAGTCTCACTTCCATACACCTCCAGTTCATCAAGGTCACGGATATCAGCAACATCAGATGCCATCCAGTCTCCTACAACCAGAAAAAACTATGCCATTACAACTTCCTGTGTTCTTTAATTTAATCTCGCATGAAGGTGATCCTCCAGGCTTTGAATATATCCTGTCAGCCACACAAACACTTCTGCTTTGAGAATGATTAAATCATTCCTCATACGACTCTTAAAGTTACACAGTTTTAACCTAATCCTTTCAAGCATTAGGCCCAGAATATTCCTCTAATTTGATAATCTCCATTCCTTGAGAGTTATTATTTCCGTGTGTTTCAAACAATCTCTTTAATAGTGTTCTATAATCCTGATATTTGTCATATTTTCAAATGTAATTACTTCTGTCATTAAACACAGATCACTGACCTCTACTGACTGTGTATTACATAACTGCAAGAGCATATGTGCAGCCCAGCCACCAGCACATTTCAGTGTCACAGTATTACAGTATCTCTTTATTTCAAGTGAGCCTACAGCAGCTATGGCAACATTCCAGTAAGATTTCCTGCTGTACTGAAAAGTTGAACAGTTCCGTCAAGTGTGACTGGTGAAGATTTTTCTTATTTCAGTTATTTATGCCCTTAAATGTTTCAGTCTTCAGAGACCATCATCAGAGGGACAACTTTCCATCAATAGTTAAAAGCCATGTACAATTACAATATATGTTCTGAAAGATAAAATGTATACATATAATATTAATAATATACAACTGGGTATAAAATCTTAACACTTTGCGGTCAACGCATGCATTAATACGTTTTTCACTTTAAATGTGGTGGACCGGTCGCATATTAATACGTTTTTAGAACATAATAAGTTGCAACACACTAGACATCGCTCTGGCACCACCCAGCTTGCACATAGCTGCCTGCAGCTGCGTGATAAGCCTCTGGAATGTTTGCTGACTAATCAGTTATGTGACCTCGCTGTAACTGTATGCCCCTGCAAAGGAAAATAAATGCCTTTATTTCTTCAAGCCATTCGTAGCAAGCTGTCAGTGAGTAGTGCAATATGCAAACATATAATCCTGGAAAACTTACAAAGTATGGCCTACTAGTTCGTGTAGTTACTGAAAGCACCTCAGGCTATATTGGAAATTTAGAATTTTATTCTGGTGAAGGAAAGAAATTACAAGAAACTATTCTTTCCATTTTGGAACCCATCTTCATCAAAATTACCATGTCTATCAAGACAATTATTATAACAGTGTGGCAACTGCAGAACACCTACTTTCGAGAAAAGTACATGTTTGTGGAACAATTAGGGTGAACAGAGGCCTTCCTCCAGATCTGAAAGAGGAATGTAAATCCCTGAAACGTGGTGAAACCACATTCAGGAGGAAGGGGGATATTCTTCTTCAGTTCTGGAGGGATACTCGTGTTGTGAATATGATTTCCACAATTCACAATTCGAGCATGGTTGATGTTGAAAGGAGACATGGACAGGTAAAGAAGCCTGTTTGTATTTCCAAGTATAATATGTTCATGAACGGAGTTGATAGAGCTGATCAGTACTTGGCCTATTATTCTCTTCCTTGGAAAACTGTGAAGTGGACAAAGAAAGTTGCATTGTGGCTTATAAATTGTGCCATTTTCAATTAATTTTTGGTTTTCAAAAATCTAAACCCTCATTCAAAATTGAAATACAAGGCATTTCTGCAGAATGTGGCAAAAGCCTGGGCTACAGACCACATGGTGGCAGAAGAACTGACAGCAGACACAGTCTTAGTGCAACCAGGCCCGTCTACTCCCACCCCATGCAGGCCTCATTTTGACCCCCCTGGGCAACTTGTCGGGTGATATGCGGAAACATACCCTCACAAAAACTGTGAAGAGTGAACATTTCAAGGGGAAGCATCCTTCTAGGCAATGCCGTGTTTGCGCAGTTCACAAGAAAAGGAGTATGACTGCCTACATTTGCAAGTTTTGTGTAATGCCACTTCACAGAGGGGAAAGTTTCGAGAAATATCACACCCTCAAGCACTTCTAGGAGTGTTGGTAAGTGTTCTCAAAAATTTTTAGTTCATAAAATTAATTTTTAAAGTGAACAGTGCACAAGTTATGGTAGCAGGTAAAACAATGCCAGTCCCCAGGGCGATTTAAATATTTAAATTGCCGGTCCACAAAGTGTTAAGTCTTTACAACTACAGCGGCTGTTCCAACACATTTAAATATATATAACTGGTTTGTTAAGACTTTTGGAATTCGTAATCCAAGCAGGTTCTTGTCCTCCCTCTTATTATTTCATTTGAGGGGGCTGAATGTGTGCTGCCTTGTCATTCTCGAGAAGAAGGTTCTGCAAATATATTATGGGTATATTGTATTATTTCAGCAATCCCATTATGTTTCGTAAATCTTTTGTTATTTTGTCCTACCTTTGATGTTGTCCTGTATGTGTTTGTGGCATACTGTGTTGTTTTTACTGTTCTAGGGTGTGTTGTACCGTGTATTTATACTCCTTGTGTCTATGACGTCAGTGTGGGCGTGTACTGTTATTGTATTATGAGGTCAAACATGTTATACTTGTTATCACTTTCCTTTGTTTTTTTTTTGTTCTTCTATCAATTTGTTGAGCTTATTAAAGCGATATATATGGAAGTTTTCTTTTATATTCATGATGATCCCTTTTTTGGCATTCTCAACCATTTCCATGATTACTGTCATTGGTCCGTACTGGTGTCGTTTATTTATTGTGAATTGCACGTTTTTTGTTGTACACTGAAGTGTTCGAGGATTTGGGGGGGATTGTTTTCGTATGATTATATATTATGAAAAGGTCATCTACGTATCTATTATAGAATATAATTTTTTCATCATCCAGTAGATGTTTTATTCTGTTTTGTTCTAGATCTTATAGGAAAATTTCTGCCTCACCTTTACCAAGTACTATGGCAGAAATTTTCCTACAAGATCTAGAAGAAAACAGAATAAAACATCTACTGAACGATGAAAAAATTATATACTATAATAGATACATAGATGACCTATTCATAATATATAATCAGACAAAAATAAGCCCCCTCGGACACTTCAGTGCAAAACATAAAAACTTGCAATTCAAAATAAATGAAGAAGTAAACGGTCAGATAGGAAGACATCATACAACTACATAACAAACTCAAACAACAACAAAAAATAATCCAGATAATAAAGCCAAAAAACGACACAAATGGACCACATTTACCTATACGGGAAATTACACATGAAAAATCACAAAACTCTTCAAAAACACCAACATAAAGATAGCATTTAAAACAACTCACACTATAGGTAAACTAGTAAATGAAAAACGAGAAACAAACCCCTACGAACAAAGTGGGATATACAAAATAATATGCCAAAGCTGCCATAAAGTATAAATCGGCCAAACTGGTAGAAATTTAGCAAGGTATAAGGAACACATAAGAAATATAAGACCAAACAAAGACGGATCGGCATTTGCCGATGACAGTAATCATGGAAATGGTTGAGAATGCCAAAAAAGGGAGCATCATGAATATAAAAGAAAACTTCCATATATATATATATATATATAGTGTGACATGTTGCGCAACGGAGAACCCTTCCCTACCCAGCAGC